TGCGAGGGAGCCGCGCCCGGGCGGCGGTGAGCGGCTGGGGCGGAAGGGGGGGGTGAGGCCGCGGAGTCCCGGGGAGGGCGGTGCGGGGTCGGGCTGGGAGGGCAGACGCTCGCCGCTCCGGGAGACCTTAATTCCCGCTGAGCCGTGAGGAGGCCTGACCTCGGCAGGGCTTCCGTGTACGTTCGTCAGCCCCCGTCCTCGGCCTGAGGGGCGGTGACCGGTCAGGGGCCCGGCCGCGCTCCCTCCCCTCAGGGAGAGCTGAGGAGGACGCCGCCGGGAAAGGTAATGCCCTGCCCCGGGCTGCCTTCGCTCCCAGCCGCCTTGTGCTGAGGTAAAACTGTGCAGGAAGGGTTTGATGTAACATATTAAAGGCTCGTACCCTCTCGAAAGTCGCCCGGTTTTCCCCACGCCGGTGAAATTGACAGGGGGGTTGCTTCGGCGGGGTGGGCGTCCGACCTCGGAGCGGGGTGCTGGGGGCGCGCCGGGCCGCAGGCTGGAAAAGAAGGGTTGGGGTTTTTTTCCGCTGTGAAAAGCTTAAATGGTGTGAAAGTCGGGTCGAAACGTTTCTAGAAAACTTGTAGAACGAATGCTTTTTTTTTTTTTTTTTTTTTTCTGCCGTGTGGTGTTTGGGTAAGCCCTCAAGAGAACTCTTCAGATGTGTCATGTGGTAAAACAAACCAAGTCTTGGGTGTTGCTCATGGTCTGAAAGCTGTTCAAGTGGGGGTGGCTTTCTCCTGAAAACAATGCATCAGTAGAACATTGAATAGCTGAGTTTTGCCACCTAACTAACGCTAAAAGTGGCAGTGCGTTTATATTTCTTAAGTTAAAACTAGTGTAAGCATTAAGGTGTGCAGCTGAATGCTGTTATGTCTCTGAGGTTTTGTTATGAACATATTAAATATGTGATAAATCCCTTGAGAAAGAGGCTCGGTTAAGAGGAAAACAAGGATTGCTTTAAAAAATAATAATAATAATCCTGTTCAGGAGCAAAACCGCCACCCATTAAAAGATCATTGTGTCTTAAGTGAAGGAAGAGCTTCATCTCGGAGCTCATCATGCTGTAGATTTTTCTGAGACTTAAGTTTAAAATGCATTTTTGATCTATATTTTAAAACATGCTCAGTGATTGCATTTGAGGCTGCGCGGGCAGTTCCAGCAGCTTTCCAGCACTCCTTCCCCAGGCGGACTCTGAATTCTTTTATGTTGTGAGCGGGTGACCTTCATACTATCACTGCAACGTGTATCTTTTAAATTTATTTTTTTAAAGACACCGTGATTAATGTGACAAGTATTTCAGCTGTTAAAGGCAGATCCATACACATTAATTTCCAAGCATTAGAAAGTTAAAGTTTAATTATCATGATACCTGCTTTATCTCAGTGGATTTCCAAGTTTAGTTATTTGAAAGGGTTTTTTTTTTATTTCTCAGGAACTTCGTTTCTGCTGGATTTGGGTTTTTTAGGGTTTTTTTTGCCTTTTTTTTTTTTACTGTCTCTGTCAGAAACCTGGGGTTATGGTACTTTATTTTATTAGTTCCTTTAGAGTCCTGGTGTTGAGAGCTTAAAGGGGAGTCTACGAATCGGAGGAAGCAGTTGTTTTCTTTGTGGCTTGAATCTGTGATATGTTGGGTTATAGTAATAAAACCTGTTTTTTTGCGATGGACTCTGTAGCAAAGGAAGCAGTGAACAGCTGCTGTCTTTAACTGAGCCACTGCTGAGCGTTTCTCACAGCCCCCTGCCAAGACCCCGTGTCACGGGAGAGATTTCAGCGTCTTGATTTTAGCAGAAGTTTACGGTTCTGTTACCAGGATAAGCTGCAGAAACTGTTATTTAGCTTGAATTTTTCTGGGTCCCTGATGGGTTTTGTGGATTTGAGTTTTGAGTAGGAGAACCTGCAGCTGTGCAAAATACTTGATTGCAGAACACTGAGGGCGTAGAGTTTATAGAGGAAAACCACTGTAGAAGGTACTGCATTAATATTTGATACTTTGCTCTACGCAAATGAGAATATGAATAGATTTGTTAAACCCCATCAATTACCAGAGTGTTTCATTTCAACGACTGTGTTGCTGCTGTTTATCTTTGATAATAATTTGGCTAACTCTACTTTAGACTAACAATTCACTGTTACTTACATAACAAGCTTGTATTTGATTGCGTCTCTGATAACTAGTTAGTTTTCTTTATAAACATTTCTGCTTACACGTGCTGACATGGTTGAAGTGGCTTTGGATGGTTCTTGTGGCCTTGGATACTTGCAGGAATCATCTTAAGACTGTACACCTGATTTAATTTTTTGTTAACAAGAACTTTAACTTTTTATTTTTTTAGTGTAGTATCTAAAATTTTGCTACTTATATCTGCAATGTCAAAGTATAAACTTCTTTCTGCAGTGAGGGCTTCTAGGACAGGTCTGTGAAAGAAAAGCTCACTTAATCAGTCTGTAGTTAGGAGGGAGCATTGAGCTCTTAGAGGTACCCAGCCCAAATCCAGGTGCCTGCTGAACGCTGTAGCCAGTCTTTATCAACAACTTAATAAAACTATATTTGATACATTTCTTACTATAAAAGGATATTACTGTCCTTGTCTTAATTTTCAGATGTTATTTTACTATTAACAGTTATTTTGCTTGCAGCCCCACTGAGAAGTGTTGGGAAGAACACTGAAATCCTGAGTTTAGAGCAGCAGTTTTCTCCCAGCCCCCATGATAGGCATGTAAGGTTTATCAGGAGGAAGATTTCAGTTATTTGATGTGTTTTTTATAAAAGCAAACCTAGTAATGTTCTTGGGGGTTAAAACTTTGAATGATGACTTTACGACGTGAGACACTGAAACACAAACTTACCTGTAAAGTAGTATTAAAATAAAATAGCATGGAGGGAGTTAGGGGACTTTTAATGTAAGTCCTCGTGATGTGGTGGTTGGTGATACACCCGCCAGCTTTCTGGGAGCTCATAAACTGGGAGGAGGCTGCAGACTGGGAGGTGTGTTGTTGGTGGAGCAGCGCTTGTCTCACTCCCTGCCATGTGACACTGTACCCAGGGCTGTGCTGGGTGGGGACGTAGGGCTGCTCACGTTTGGTGGTAGGAAGCTGTGCCATGTGGCTTCTGTGTTTTCATCATCTGTCACGTAGTTCCCTAGGCCAGTAGCCAGCCTTGCCCGTGGAGGGGAAAAGGCAGGAAAAAAAAACTTTCTGGATTTTTTTTTTTTTCCCCCTGATGTTTTCCATGACGCTTAGGTGACATTAGTAGTTATGGACAGTGTGGTTAACCAAACTTCACTACTAATGGTAATGCAAATATTGAATAACTTACTGTTTACATTGTACTGTTGGCCAGTGCAATGTAAATGTAGCTGCAATATTTGTTTCCCATTGGTTTTATACTTGATCTGACCTCACGTTTCTAGCAATGACACAGTGGTTGCATTATGGAATAAGCTACCTTGTGTTTAGATGATGCCCTCAAGCTCCTTTACTAAAGCAAGAAAATGTATAAATTGGTGTCAGCGTTTTTTCCTATCATTTTTGCGTGGGATATAATGCAAGGATTATTTTTTTCCAAAACTAACAAAAGTTTTTGTGGCATTTTATCCGGACAGGAGGGGAAAGCAGACAGATGCTTGTGAGTGCCCCATGGCTGCAGCTGCCTCAGTTCACTCATTTATTGCCTATTGTAACTTGGAAGCGTTCTTTAGGTAAGAAAGCTGCTTCAAAATATGTCATGCTGTTTATAAACTTACACTTAATACTCTTCTGTCTTGAATCTTTAAATTGCATCTCGGTGTCTTGTGCTCTCAATTATAATGTTATTTATGTTTTCTGTTTGCATGTGTCATTATAAACCTACCTTTTATGTATGAGGAAACTGACAGCACTTTTGCAAATGCATTTTATTTATAAACCTGCCTTTTAGGAGTTAGAAACTGACAACACTTTTGCAAATGAATTTTTGATGCTGTGCAGAGTTAGCAAAGGGACACTCCGCTTGCTTCACAGGAGACCGTGTAATACTTGTAGACTGTTTGTGCAATACAAGGCCACCATAAATTATAGCCTTTGTTTGTGCAATACAAGGCCACCATAAATTACAGCCTTCAGATACCATCTGTGAACAGAGTGACTAATGTGTATCAACTTTCTAATTATAAACAAGCATGGCTGTGCAGATTTTAAATTTTCTGATGTGTGAGCTGAGCGACAGCATTACTTGCACAGATTTCAGTACTTGAGTTTGATTTTGCTTAGGAGATAGGGGCTGCTTCTCTTGTTGCATTCCTAATTAACACATGTACTACATCTGTGTTAAACTTCACAACTATAAAGCTGGGCTGTTTTTCAAAAGGTGGTGATATGACCAGGGAGAATCTAAAGCCTCATGTCTCCCGTCTTTTAAAGGAAAAAAAAATATTTCAACATTAGAAGGTTTCTGAAGATGTTATTACTGGCTGAACACAATAGTTTGAAAACTTCCATTTCTAATCTACTTTTTCATTTCAAATCTGTCATGACTTAGTAAAATGATTGTTGTTCTTCCTGTAGCTTTCATTAAACTATCTTCAGACAATATAAATGGGTAACAGAATTTGGAGGGTTTGGGTATGCTTTCTTAGAGCAGACCAAGATACTTTTCATGATAAGGTACAGGGTAGCTTTTTCGTGTTGGTATATGGAAGCGTATTCGTACATCATTGGTATCTTGCTTTCTTAGAGCAGACCAAGATACTTTTCATGATAAGGTACAGGGTAGCTTTTTCGTGTTGGTATATGGAAGTATATTCGTACATCATTGGTATTTTTTTTTTCCAGATAGAGTTTAATTTAGCCAAAACAGTTTGTTTACTATCAAGATTATCATGATGTAGTAAATATACTTTTTGGAATAGAAGTGAGTAACGTTTAAAGCCAAGAGTCCTTAAATTTTAAAATATCAGAAGTCATATCTTTAACTATTTTGATTTGTGTTGTTTTGGTAGAAAGTAAGCTGTGGGTTTGTAATTCCTTTAGATCATATTCAAGAATCCAGAGGTGTATTTGTGTTGCATAAAAGAAATGATGTGACTAAAACTGTAGATAGAGCAATAACTAGATTTGTGCCAACGATTACACCTTCCCATTAGTTAAACACTAGTTTTCAGGTAACATTTGGTAAAACTAATCGCCACATTCTGTTGTTCTACTTCCACACCAGCCCTGCAGAGGGATGTGTACTATGTATCTGAGCCTTTGTTCCAAAATTGGGTTTAGTTCCTCCAGTGGGTCACCTAGACATTGCAGAACAGTTTTTCTTTGGTCGGTGGCTTCACAGGTCAGTTCATCTTCTGGGACCCGTCTCTGCCTTCTGGTTAAGGAATCCATGCACACATACAGGATGACTCAACAGTGGGATGGATGGTCAGATACCAAAAAGGTGCTGGTAACTTGACAGGAACTTCCACATTCTTTGGAGGTATGTGTGCATGTAAACCTCTTGTTGAATACTGCCTGGATTATATCACATGGAACTGTAATGTAGTTAACTTCAGTTGTGTTTTAAAATATCTATCTTGCGCAGTTTAATTATTCAGAACAAAATAAACATTCACGTTTTTGTAGTGAATATTAGGACTTCATGCTTGGTAAAAAAATTGTGATATATAAGCAATGGAACCTTTTTCTGGCTTTACATCCCACATTGAGTAATATAATGTAGTTCTGCTAAAGTACTGCAATGCAGAATACTAAAAATAGAAATTTTAGAGAATCTTATTTTAAAGGGATGTAGCAGCAAGAACAAGTTACAGCCACGTTCCTTCAGTGAGATCATGGATACATATACTCCATGTCACAGGTCTTCATCCGTCTGGGCTGGGTATGGTGCATCTGGTCAGTAGCCTGGCCTGTGCTTTAGGGGAATGGTATCTTTTCTGGTAGTTTTCAGATGCCAAAACTTCTTGGTGGGAGCCAAAACAGCACCCGTGAAGCTCAACTAAGTTTCAGATAAAGTGAAAGTGTCCTTTTTTTTTTTTTTTTTTCCAGAAACTTAGATTTTTCTAAGGTGTTGCAGATTTGCATGAGAAGAGCAAAAGCATAGAGAAGCTTCCCAGACAACAGCATTTGTTTAATTTCATTTTTTGTTCTGGCCTTTACAAATTTCAGCTAAATTTGTAATTTCTCCCAAGGAGAAAGGAGGGAAAAAAAAAAAAAAGCTGAACTCAAGCTAAATTTAGCAACACTGTGAGAAGCTGGAAGAGAGAGTTATGCAATGGTTAATTACTACATCCACACATAATGCTTTGGAATGCCCATTCATTGTGTGACTTACAGCACTCAAAAGTCAAAACATATAACCATAAAACATGGTCGTATAGATGATGATTTGATAAAATTTTAGTAGCAAAATGTTTATTCATGCTGAGCTTACATCTTCATTGCATTCATAGCACTAATGTATTGTTTAGAGATGCTGCTTTGTTTTGGAGTGTATTGTTCTTCATTCTCTTTGACTTGCTGCCTTTGATCGTTAATGCAAGGCACGTGTTTCTATTCAGGGAACAAAAACATTATTAAATACAATTTAAGGAGTGTCACTAGCTTAACCTTCTGCATGTGTCACTTAACACTATCAGAAATGGAACTTTAAAGAGACTAAGTGAAGGCTTCTGAAGACTGCTACAATAAATTCCTTGGTGGTTGAGATGATTTGTCAGGAGGACAAACAGTAGTGAAGCTGGTAATGTGAAAGCTCTTCGCTACTTGGCTAGGTTTTTCTTTCCAGTTCTCAAGGAATGCACATGCTTTCTTTTCAGAAAAATGGAGTTACACTTCTGTGTCAGGCACATCATCAGCCATAAAGGTGTTTTTTTTTTCGTAAGTTGGGGAAAATGCTGGAGAAGTTTTTGATAGTCTGTATTTTGGCAGCTTTTTCCGGATTTTTGGTGTGTTTCTACCCCCCTGGCCACTGAAGATACTATGGAAAATTTTCAGTCCAGAAAAAGCATGCTGTGAAGGTTGCCACAGAAGATTGTTCAGTAATAACAGATAACATGTTCTTTTTGTTGTTGAAGAATGCATGGTTGCTTTGCAAATGTTAGCTTCAGGCTGGTTGGGAAGAGATGAGGTCTGGCTGAACTCCTAATTAATAGGACATTGGAGAAGGGGCCTCATCCCACTGTCAAATGAAGTGGCATTTGAAGCGGTTAAGACGGTTGTTGAGAATTGACTGAGACAGAATGGACTTGAGTTGATCGCTCTGCTTCAGCATGTGAAAGCAGAGCTTTGCCTTATTCTGCTTTTTTTTCTGCTTCATATGGCAAAAGTTCTTTGGTGAAGTAGGTTCATGCGGTTTGCTATATTCTGGGGTCCTTTTGTTCTGCTGAAAAGCAGCACGTGAGCCTCACTTACTTGGCCCTAATTTGATAATTGGCCTCTGAAGTTTTTTGTTGTTAGTTGTACAAACATTTTCCTCTGCCTGGCATGATTTAAAAGAAACAGCTCAAAACAAAAAAAACAACAAAGCAAAGCAGGGGGGGGGAGGTGGAAGTTTTTGAATCTATCTCTTCTGAATACATCTGTTCCAAGTTCATTGTTGTTTAAAAAGGGAGTTTATGAATTGAGTTCTCTAGCTGATAAAATTCTTCTAGAAATCATTTGTAGGTTCTGTAGTTTGTCTGCTGAGTTTAAATGTAAAGATAAATAGTCCTGCTAAACTAAATTGCTGTTAAATACTTCTTTTTCTACAAAGTGCTTGATATACTGTGAAGTACTTACACATTAAATATACTTGGTAAATTAACAAATGCAAATTCTCCAGATTCAAATCAAGTTATAAAAAATGAAAGGTATTGAGAAAGAAAGTCCTTGACAATGTGTGTGCACTGGATATTGACATAAGGGTGTACCTTTTTTCAGAGCCCTACTGTGTGTGAGACCTTTCAGGAAGCGGCGCAGTTTGGATACATCAGATCGTGCCAATACCTGAGACTTTCACGATGAAGAGAGCTAGGCAGAAAGTTGTGGTTGAAAATGAAGCTCCTCAAACATCACAGAAAACCAAAAAACAGAAAACTTGTTTGTATGGCTCGGTGTTTGGGGAATCTGACTTGCACACCTCCATAGACTGGGGGAGCCTCCCGCACCACGTCATTCTGCGCATTTTTCAATTTCTACCTTTAGTAGATCGAGCCAGGGCATCTTCTGTTTGTCGAAGGTGGAATGAAATTTTTCACATCCCGGATCTCTGGAGGAGATTTGAATTTGAGCTTAGCCAGCCAGCCACTTCTTATTTAAAGTCTACACATCCTGATCTCATTCAGCAGATTATCAAGAGGCACGCTGATCATCTGCAGTACGTCAGCTTCAAGGTAAGTCAGGGATGAATGGAGGCTGGTTTTGTCGTGTTACTGGGCATGACAGATGCGGCTTTTCTGTTGGTAAAGGAGGAGAGAATGTCATGCCATACAGGGCTGAAGATACGTTTTCAGAATATACAAAATATGTAGGTTTTGTGAATCAATGATAGTGGCAGTCTGAGTACTCGGAAGATTATTGTGCAGATAAATTTCTTGCACGTGGAAGCACTTGAGGAAATAAGTTTGTGTTGTATGTATAATTTGCTTGCAAAATAGAACTGTACAGTGAAGAAAGTCTTGAAATTTAAGAACCGTGCTTTGAAAAAGTATGTGTAAGATTCTGTGCCTGTGTTTTCAGCTGATTGACATGTAAGGACATAATTAAATAACAGTATATTTGATGCAAATGTGGCCTCTGTGTATAGTCTCAAGATTGTATGAATTTGGGCATTTTTCATTTTAATGCTTGGTACAGTTCACTGTTTATCTCAGGAGATCATAGTGGGAGTTAGAGGTGCTTTGTTTACTTTTGGCAGATGCTCCTTAGGGGAGCTCATGGTTCTAAGCTGTGAAGGAAAAGCACAAGAAAGGATTGATATTAACGCTAGGGTGAAAACCAGAAGCTTGCACAGCAGTTCATGGATAATCAGTTACTAAATACCTGTAATTTCATATAACTTCATATAACATGAGAATGAATTGGCATTATAATGTCTCAGTGCAACTTGTGTGCTTTTTCAGTGATTCTTTTATCTCAACTACTACCGAGGAGGAAGAGGAGATGAAATAGTGATTTGTGCAAAGTTAGCCATCAGGTTTATAGATGAATTGAGAATCAGTCATTATTCAACACGCAAAGGTGTTGCCCTTGCTGTAAGAGTTTAGAATCGGCATTTTAAAAAGGTGCTTACATACCACTGACCATCATAACACTAATTGCAGTTGTTAAGAAGGTGTGAGGTCATTTGAAGAAAAGGCTTAGAGGTGCTTACATACCACTGACCATCATAACACCAATGCTAATTGCAGTTGTTAAGAAGGTGTGGGGTCATTTGAAGAAAAGATCTGAGCTCTCTGTTCACACTGGAAATACCCAGCAGTCATACTCAGGAAAACTTTCTAATAGTAACTTCCCTGAACTCCTGTCTTGAAATTTCTAATTCACGTTGCATTTTGTCCTTGTGGTAAATGTAGTGTGATGCGGCACAGCTGAGGGAGTGTGGACCAGGCAGTCTTGGCTATTCATGATGCTGTTTTCTAAATAATAATAAAGAATGACTTGATGATTTTTAAATTGCTTTTCTAGGTTGATAGCAGTACTGAGTCAGCAGAAGCAGCCTGCAACATCCTCTCTCAGTTGGTGAACTGTTCTATCAAGACCCTGGGTTTGATTTCTACAGCGAAACCAAGCTTCATGAATGTCTCTAAGGTGAGGTTCTACAAACTGTAACTAGAGTGTACCTACAAACTAATTCACTCTTAAATTATTGTAGCTTTCTTATTGTGTTGTTATTCAGCTGATAGTAATTTTTATGAAATGGTCTGTATTTATTGGCATATCTTTTTTTATTTGTGGCATCTGTTAGTATTAGGAAAATACTTCAACATTGATTCCATTAATTAAATTCAGTAGTGGTGTAGAAATGGGGAATCTCTTAGAAGGCTTGAGTTTCCTTATTTATAGATTAAAAGATAAGTGATCACACGCTGCAATATATTGTTAAAATATTTCAAGATTTTTTTTCTTTGGCTGTAGGTCAGAGCAGAGTTACTTTCTGGAAAATGAAATAAATGCTGTTTCCTTTTTTCCTACATAAAAATTCTAGATACTTCAGACATCACTATATCCATTTGTTCCTATTTTATTACAGTGAAAAGATAAATCAGAGCGGATGAGTTAACTACTGACTGTAAAGTTAATTTTTTTCATGTGCAGCAGCCTGTTTTTAAACAAAGGTTTACTATGTTTCTGTTCAAATAAGCCATTTTGTGACACAAAAACGGGGATGCCTAAGAATTGATAGGTTTTGTACTCTCTGTGCATGCAAAACCTGAGGTTCAGGTGTTGAAGTTCTGCCTGTCTTTTCATAGGATTGATTTATTTTTTTTCACCTCCCTCATTCGATTTCCCCAAACAGGCTCATTTCACTTCAGCACTGACAGTGGTTTTTGTAAACTCCAAGTCTTTATCATCAATCAAGATAGATGACACACCGCTCGATGATCCTTCCCTGAAGGTTCTCGTTGCTAACAACAGTGACACTCTAAAACTGCTGAAAATGAGCAGCTGTCCTCATGTATCACCTGCTGGTAAGTAGCCAATATATATGAAAAATGTAGTAGTGAAGTATCATAAAACAATAAGCAAGACTTAATTTGAAACAAGTTATTCATAAAACTTCTAGTGCTCTTCTGAGTCTCTTAACAGAGGCTTTTTATTGACCTAGTCTTGGCTTGGGACAATTGGAAGGGGAATAAGAATAGTGTCCTTGTGTTACTGAATGAGTTGGATTAGTGAAGATGGAGGTGCTTCTCTCTTGACTGCATCTTCTAGAATCCTAGAGATTTCTTTTGTTTCTTCTTCTCGTCTGCTTTAGTGCCTCTGATGGGCTTGAGGAGGAAAAGCCTCCAAAAAGAAAACACTGTAGAGTCTACAAATTTGAAAAACTTAGTAATGTAAGACTCTTTCAGTTCCTGTGGTGCCCTCGTGTGTCCAGATCTGGTAGTACAGCCTTGCTCATTTCAGCATTGGTTGGTGAAGTGCTCACATCCTACAAAATACAGGGTCCCTTCTTGCTTACCTTTCTCTTAAAATTCTGGTTCTTGGGAAGGGGAATCCTGGTCTGGTCTCTTTCCTATGTTCATATCCAGAGTCTACAAAAGGTGATTTAATCTGTGTATTTTTAGTCCAACAGATTAAGAGCAGTTATGTTGGTTATGTCTTAATTCAGGCAAGGGTCTGTTTCAGCATAGCTTTTAAATTGGGCTGCTGGCGGTCATTTAAATAGAATGCTCAAAATTCTGGTTCTTGGGAAGGGGAATCCTGCTCTGGTCTCTTTCCTATGTTCGTATCCAGAGTCTACAAAATGTGATTTAATCTGTGTATTTTCAGTCCAACAGATTAAGAGCAGTTATGTTGTTTATGTCTTAATTCAGGCAAGGGTCTGTTTCAGCATAGCTTTTACATTGGGGTACTGGCAGTCATTTAAATAGAATGCTTAGACAAATGCTGAAGGAAGGAGTATTAAGGAAGGCAACGGTGGCAGCTTCAGCTGGATCTTACCTAATTTCAGTTGCCTCTTCAAAGCTGAGGAAATTCTGCATAGGGAAGGGCAAAGAGGAAGACAGATATGCAGATCCAAGGTGAATATTACTAGTTAGACTCAGTGTTTTTACTGATAAGTGTTTACGGCCAAAACGCCCATAAAAGTATGTGGGTGTTTAGAACTTTATCATATTTCATAGGGTTTTGGATGTAGACATGAATAATCAAGCCAGTAGAATTAGTACTTGCTTGAGTTCTTCAGCAAACAGCTGTGCTTATAATCACTTTTCGTTTTACAGAGCATTTTTTTTTTGTTCCTCAGGAATTCTTTGTGTTGCTGACCAGTGTCACGGACTTAAGGAGCTGGCTTTGAACTACTACATACTAAGTGATGAACTGCTGCTGGCTCTTTCAAGTGAAAAACATGTTGATCTCGAACACCTTCGCATAGACGTTGTGAGTGAAAATCCTGGACAAGTCCAATTTCACACTATTAAAAAGCAAAGCTGGGATGCTCTTCTTAAACACTCCCCCAAAGTCAACATTGTGATGTATTTCTTCTTATACGAAGAAGAATTTGATGCTTTCTTCAGAGAGGAAACCCCTGTTACTCACCTTTACTTTGGCCGGGCAGTCAGCAAAGCAATGTTGGGTCGTATTGGCATGAATTGCCCCAGGTTAATTGAGTTGGTTGTGTGTGCTAATGGACTTCAGCCTTTGGATGATGAACTGATTCGGATTGCTGAGCGCTGCAAGAACTTAACAGCAATGGGACTTGGGGAATGTGAAGTGACTTGCAGAGGTTTTATTGAATTTGTAAAGATGTGTGGGGGCAGGCTTACCCAGCTGTCCATCATGGAGGAGGTGCTGATTCCAGATAACGATTACAGTTTAGATCGACTGCATTTGGAAGTCTCCAAACACCTTGGAAGACTGTGGTTTCCTGATATGATGCCAACGTGGTAAATTCTCTATATTAGTGGATAAGCTGGTAGAATCAGGGCGTTGCTTTCTATGCAAATAAAGAATTCAAAAATGAAATATGGAAACTTGTTTCCAGATTTGAGCTTCTGTACCTTGAAAACCTCTAGTAGTGTAACAGCAAAACTAGAATGTTAATGGTATAGTGAAACAGAAAATAGATTAAGTGTACTTAACACTTCTGAAAGTATGTCTATGGTTTACAGGTGCTTCAAACTCTGGTGAACTTGGGCTTCTCTGAGCTTCAGTTGAAATGTTCTACTCACGTTAAATAATTTATTTTTCATGTCTTTGTGCAGTCTTTCCAGCCTAGTCAGAAGAGGACTAGGGAAATGTTTTTCCTTTGGCAAATCCATCTTTAAGGGAAACTGAATACAGCTTGGAGTTCAGGAAAACTGTATTATTTGTCATGATGTTTTATACTGCTATTTTTCAAAATGTTCATGTTATAAAAGTAAAAGCTTGTACATTAATACACTATCCCAGGTTATTCAAATATGTAATCTAACGCCTGACAAGTTTATTAAAATGTTCTGGTAAATAAGCTTATACTTAAAAAAAACTTTCCAGTTTTAAATTGCACTTTAAATAATTTTGTCATATGAGCTAAACTCTATAGAATGCGTTGTACAGTGTGTTGTTTTTTCTATTTTATGCATTAAATGGGAAAATTGCCTGTTAAAATGAATGATTTTAAATGTTTGGGTCTAGATTGATTTCTTGGGTGAATGATAAAGCACAGTGGAAACTGCCAGAGTATAAGGAAAAGCTTCTGGGCTGATGTCTGAATGCTGTTCTGTGCTTTCATTATTGAGATAAGGATGTCATAAATGGGGCAGGTGAGAAGAAAGGATCAAATGGAATACATTTGTCTTGGATCACTTTCTATCTGGAATCAAGGATTTAGAGCCATTAGAGCCAAAATGACCTGTAAAAATCCTGCCTGTATCTGAGCTGTGCAATAAGCTCCGATTTGTAGAGTAAGGATTGCTGGAGGTGATCCTGGAATTTTTAATTCAGGACTCTTTAATACTTTTGGCTATTAGTTGGTTTTTGAGGATGAAGATTTTATTTCATTTCTTTGTTTTCTTTAAAGTGCAAAGGAAGGGTGAGTTGATGTGAATTAGAATATGTATTTTTGTGTTGATGTTTTGCACACTGTAAACTGAAAGGCACCATATATGAATTTTGCTGTAATTATTTTCATGCTGTAGTTGCTCTATCTTCCTATTTATAGTGAGAAGTCTACGTTTGATTTGCTCTTAGTATTTCTCAGATCAAATGTCAGTTGCTTCCATCCTTCCACACTTACACTTCTCTACTCCAAAAATAACAGCTACACAGTTAAACCAGGGTTGTCCTGGACAGATTTGTTCCCAGTTACAAGCTAAAGGGTTTAAGATGACAACATCTAAAGCCTGTTGGACTCGGTAGCACATTATTGCCTCTTGAGTGGTTAAGAAGCATCTTCCTCTGGTTATTAGCACCTGCTTCCATAATCAGGGGGATTATAATTGTCTTTTGTTTAAAAGACTGAAATATTTCTAAACAGTATTTGGTTTAATGTGTGGTTTGCTTTAACTGTAAACATAATAAAGTGATCTAATATGTTTACTGATATTAGACTTTTATCCATCTGTTGCTCCACGTCCTCCTGTTAGGCAGGGTTCTGTCCTGTTAGAAACCATCTACCCAACAAACCTGCAGAGAGGCAGTAGAAATCCGGTTTAACTGCTGGATTTTGGTGAGTTAATCATTGTCATTTCATGTTCACACCTCAAACTTGAGGATTTGTGACGTGCTGAAACCATAAAATGGAATATGGACAAGTCTTGTAGATGGTTGGTAATTTCTAGAATCCTCCATGTCTCTCTACACAACATGACAGCATTGATGAGCTATCAAAGACTAGTGGGGTATACAGAAATATAGTTTAGGAGAAAACTAAAATGCTTTGAATATTGTCCTTTTCTCAGCCCCTGTTACTAAAACAGCTTTTCTGTGAGGGCATGAACGTTAACTTGCTCCAGCTCCAAGCTTCTAGCTAAAATGCTTTGAATATTGTCCTTTTCTCAGTCTTTGTTACTAAAACAGCTTTTCTGTGAAGGCATGAACGTTAACTTGCTCCAGCTCCAAGCTTCTAGCAAAATGGGCCTGCATTTACTAATCTTGTGCATAGCAAAATGGGCCTGCATTTACTAATCTTGTGAATTTTGGTGTGATTTTTTTGCCACATTCACTCTCCTAACTGATCTTAACAAGGTACTTGAGTTTATAACTAAATGGGTGTGATTTTTTTGGTGTGATTTTTTTGGTTCATTCGCTCTCCTAACTGATCTTAACAAGACACTTGAGTTTATAACTAAGTAGCAACAAAACGGATGCATTAGTTTCCATGTGAAATACTGATTCTTCACTGGCAGTGTGGGAAGCTAATTTTAGTTGAAAGGCAACTTCTGAATGTCAAATTTTGTATTTTTAGTGTTAAGTTTGTGCTATGGTATGTGCATTTTGCTTTGGGAGGAGTGTCAAAACACTGCCCTGTGTAAAGCAGCATTTACTTCTTTTCCTTCATTAGTAGGTCATCCTTAATGACCATGATGGAGGTATTGCACTTGATGAGAACCTGTAGATAGTTGCCTGCCCCCTTGGGTAGCCGGTTCTTCAGAGCTCTGCTTTGTCCTCGAGAGGGCAAGTTTTATCTCTTTTATTGGCTTTTTCTGTTTTTTCTGCCCTGCAAAGCCTATAATGCACTGATAGAGTTTGTTAGAATAGCTAAACCCCCCAAAATGGAGCACAGAATTTACCCCTGGTGTGTGAAGGAGATCTGTAGGGTCAGTAAAAAGTCCAGGTTCCAGTGGGGAGCTGAGGGCAGTGCACCTCCTCTGCCACGTGAGGGGGCGAGATACTTTTCATGCTCCTGACTTTTTGGAAAAAAGTCCTTGAGAAAGCTTATAATTAGTCGTTGCTAATTTCCTGATTCCCTCAAAAAAGCCCAATACCCCATACTCTACTTTTTTTTTTTTTTTTTTTTTTTTTTTTTTTTTTTTTCCCCTTGTGTGGAATCTCTTTTGCCACCCAACAGAGACACTAGTGGTTCTGGCATCACAACTCCAAACGGCATCTTTTATGCCTTGTGGAGTGTTTCAGTAAATTCCTTTCTACTTTTCCTCAGTCCAGGTGCCTTCACCTTGGCAAACTAGATTTCTTTAGATTTTGTAGTAAAGTTCATCAATTAGCCTAAGATACGGTGTTTGCAACAATTAGAGGTGCTTAAAAAAGCAGTGTATATTACTGGAGTGTATATATTGCAGTGTTCTGTAAGCCCCAAAGTAACATCAGATCAGCAGTAATGTTGTGTCTATTGTGTAACTCTTTCTATTCTATAAAATACACTTTTTTCCTTCCTTCGCTGAGACGGGCATGGTAAGAAAAAAAAAAACAAACCAGCTTTTGGATGCTGAGATGAATTTATTTGGAATTTACTGCGTTTCCCATTTCACCCTCTGTGCTGCCCTTTCCCCCTTTCCAGGTTGGGAGTGGGATCCGAGCGGTCGCAGTTCTCGATGTGGATGTGGGATGTGATCCCAGGGAACACTCTCTGCATGGGCAGCATTCGCCCCAGGACCTGCCCCTTAGAGATTCTCCCGCTGTATCTGACGGGGTGGATGCAGACTATTTTGACACAGAAGCCTGGTGAAGACAAGAGGAGGGAAAACTTTAAGTCACAGGTGATAGGGCAAGAGGAAACGGCCTCAAGTTGCACCAGGGGAGGCTCAGATTGGAGATTAGGAAGAATTTTGACATGGAAAGGGTTATTAAACTTCGGAATGGGCTGCCCAGGGAAGTAGTGGAGGCACCATCCCTGGAGGGATTTAAAAGATGGGTTGACATAGTGCTTAGAGACATGGGTTAGTGATGGGGTTTTTATCAGGTTGATGGTTGGGCTAGGTGATCTTGATGGTCCTTTCCGACTCAGACTAGTCTATGATTCTATGATGCTATGATTGTTCATCTGTACTAACTCTGTTTCCAAAATACTAACATTTTCTGCCTCGTCCTTTCCACTGAGAGCACAATAGTGGAAATGCCAAAATAGCAGAGGCACTGTGGTCGTAAAAAATAGAGATAGTGGTTGGAGCTGTTGGCTTGTTGGAAAAGGAAAGATAGGAGACAGGGATAAGGTGGAAATTCCTGCTTCAGTAAAGAGAAGAGCTCAAAGACATTCTACAGAACTCAGTTATTTGCATTGTAATATAACAAAAAGTCTGTGTCTGTGTGTTAATTGATAGAAGATGCAGTGTACCTTGCTTAGCTACTTGTCCAGGTGCAAGGTAAGGCATCCTGTATGAGTTGGGCTAGGTGATCTTGATGGTCCTTTCCGACTCAGACTAGTCTATGATTCTATGATGCTATGATTGTTCATCTGTACTAACTCTGTTTCCAAAATACTAACATTTTCTGCCTCGTCCTTTCCACTGAGAGCACAATAGTGGAAATGCCAAAATAGCAGAGGCACTGTGGTCGTAAAAAATAGAGATAGTGGTTGGAGCTGTTGGCTTGTTGGAAAAGGAAAGATAGGAGACAGGGATAAGGTGGAAATTCCTGCTTCAGTAAAGAGAAGAGCTCAAAGACATTCTACAGAACTCAGTTATTTGCATTGTAATATAACAAAAAGTCTGTGTCTGTGTGTTAATTGATAGAAGATGCAGTGTACCTTGCTTAGCTACTGAAAAAAAAAAAAAAAAAGAAAAATAGGTATTTACCTGATCCCCTAATTTGGACTCCGTCATCGATGGCATTTCCGTTGTGGAAGAATTTAATGGGTCCAGAGAGCTCTCCAGAGAAGGGAGCGTACACGGTTGCCCCATCAGAGCAGATGACATCCACGGCCGTGTGCTTTCCTTTACCATTGCGCCTGAAATTAGAGAAGAATTAGGGAATTAGAGAAGTTTCTTGTCAGGCCTAACGTTATGTAGAGATAGGTCAGTCAGCAGGCTGCCAGATCTGGAAATGGGTTGTTCCTACTGAAGACAGTGTTGATATAATTGACTGGCTGAAGAATCTGTGGAATATTTTTTGGGGTAGATGACGTAATGCTATTTAGGGTTGATCTGGTAGAGTTGAAGTTTTGCAAATTGGAGGGGGAAAAAAAATGCCTTTAAATAGAACTGTAGAGCCATAGAAACGTTGGGTGGCAGGTACATCCCATCAAGGACATCAAGTCCAACCTTCCACTTGAGTCAAGAGTGTTCCCAACACCAGGTCAGGTCAGGGATGGCCCCATCAAGGACATCAAGTCCAACCTTCCACTTGAGTCAAGAGTGTTCCCAACGTCAGGTCAGGGATGGGTCATAAATCCTCCAAGCACAGAGGTTTTATGAACAAGGTGGGCAGCCTGGTGTGGTGCTGTAGTCAAAACATCTCCTCGTGTCCAACCTAACCCTTCAAAGCTGTAATTCTTCAATGGCTTAAACAGAGTTTCACTCTTATTTTGGTGGAAAAGCAACAAAACCCCACAGGTTCCCCCACCATCCAGTACCTTGGAGCCCCGTAGTACCCGCAGCCGTAGCGATCGCAGCCCCGGATCTCGTTTGTAGGATTTCCAGAGCACACTGTGGCCCAGTGCGTGTCTTGTTGTTGTGGGAATGGTGGAACAACTTTGAAATACAGAAACACAGCGCATGGAAGTTAATGGTTAGGTTCTAAGCATTGTATGTTTGTAACTCCTATGTTTCAATTTTAATTAGGTAGGAATACACTGGAATTACATCCCATGCACGTAGTTGGATGTTTCCTCTGCAAAACTTGTCCTCCTTTAGGAAATGTAAGTAGAACTACGCTTAAGACTGGATTGTAATGTGTCTAGATTAGGGTTAGAATAGAAGGAATATGCTTTAAAGAGAAAAATTCAAAGAGTATCACAGTTCCTAGACTGTAACCTGAGGGATGGGAAAAGATTCTGTTTTGTTTCTTGTTCTGTGCCTGGGCTGATGGGACTGGACTCTTCGAGTCCTCTGTTACTACAAACATAGTATTTGTATTTGCAAAGAATCATCCCAAAATCTGCTAAGGTGTGATACTGAACCATTGCTGGTAGCTAAAAGCATAAAAACTAAGAGGTATCTGACTTGGTTTGTTGCTGAGACGTGATGCTGCTGTTCCATGGAGGGGCAAGAAATACAACTTGAGAAGCTGATACATTCCCCTTCCTGCATCACTGCCTGTAGTTCTCTTATACTATATTTATAATGTGTATTTTCTTTCTCTTTGATGTTGCTGTTGGAGAGAACCTAGGACAGCGGGGACTTGCTATTTGATATTACTGCCCTTATATGAAATTGATTAATAACTTAAAACTTAATTTTCATTCATTATACTGCTTATTCTGGTTGGTGGTTTTCGGTTGGTTGCATTTTATGTTTTTTACCAGGCGTAAGTTGCTGCGTAGGATCCGAGTGGTCGCAGTTCTCAACGTGGATGTGAGAGATGATGCCAGGAAAGACTTTCTGCATCGGCAGCATTCTCCCCAGCTGCTGCCCCCTCTGGATTTGGCCGTGGTACCGGATGGGGTGGATGCAGACGAGCTTGACACAGAAACCTGGAAGGGATGGGAGAGGAAGCCAGGTCAGGAAAGAGGGGCTGCTTCTCTTCTTGGGGTGAGCAAGAAACCTTCCTCTTGCTGGAGGGCTGTAATGATGAAGCAGAAGTCAAAGTACCAACTTTGAAGCAGGTCAAAGTACCAACTGTGCTGAAATCAAGATTACTTGGATTGTTATAGAAAAGAGGAAAAGAGGGGGCTGGAAAATAAGGTCAGGAAAACATCCTCTCAGCCAAACTGAGGGCATATTTCTAATACTTTATTTTTACCATTTCCTTTTTCTTTTTTTTCTTTTTTTTAGTTAGAAAAATAGGTATTTACCTGATCCCCTAATTTGGACTCCGTCATCGATGGCATTTCCGTTGTGGAAGAATTTAATGGGTCCAGAGAGCTCTCCAGAGAAGGGAGCGTACACGGTTGCCCCATCAGAGCAGATGACATCCACGGCCGTGTGCTTTCCTTTACCATTGCGCCTGAAATTAGAGAAGAATTAGGGAATTAGAGAAGTTTCTTGTCAGGCCTAACGTTATGTAGAGATAGGTCAGTCATCAGGCTGCCGGATCTGGAAATGGGTTGTTTCTACTGAAGACAGTGTTGATATAATTGACTGGCTGAAGAATCTGTGGAATATTTTTTGGGGTAGATGACGTAATGCTATTTAGGGTTGATCTGGTAGAGTTGAAGTTTTGCAAATTGGAGGGGGAAAAAAAATGCCTTTAAATAGAACTGTAGAGCCATAGAAACGTTGGGTGGCAGGTACCATCCCATCAAGGACATCAAGTCCAACCTTCCACTTGAGTCAAGAGTGTTCCCAACACCAGGTCAGGTCAGGGATGGCTCATAAATCCTCCAAGCACAGAGGTTTTATGAACAAGGTGGGCAGCCTGGTGTGGTGCTGTAGTCAAAACATCTCCTCGTGTCCAACCTAACCCTTCAAAGCTGTAATTCTTCAATGGCTTAAACAGAGTTTCACTCTTATTTTGGTGGAAAAGCAACAAAACCCCACAGGTTCCCCCACCATCCAGTACCTTGGAGCCCCGTAGTACCCGCAGCCGTAGCGATCGCAGCCCCGGATCTCGTTTGTAGGATTTCCAGAGCACACTGTGGCCCAGTGCGTGTCTTGTTGTTGTGGGAATGGTGGAACAACTTTGAAATACAGAAACACAGCGCATGGAAGTTAATGGTTAGGTTCTAAGCATTGTATGTTTGTAACTCCTATGTTTCAATTTTAATTAGGTAGGAATACACTGGAATTACATCCCATGCACGTAGTTGGATGTTTCCTCTGCAAAACTTGTCCTCCTTTAGGAAATGTAAGTAGAACTACGCTTAAGACTGGATTGTAATGTGTCTAGATTAGGGTTAGAATAGAAGGAATATGCTTTAAAGAGAAAAATTCAAAGAGTATCACAGTTCCTAGACTGTAACCTGAGGGATGGGAAAAGATTCTGTTTTGTTTCTTGTTCTGTGCCTGGGCTGATGGGACTGGACTCTTCGAGTCCTCTGTTACTACAAACATAGTATTTGTATTTGCAAAGAATCATCCCAAAATCTGCTAAGGTGTGATACTGAACCATTGCTGGTAGCTAAAAGCATAAAAACTAAGAGGTATCTGACTTGGTTTATTGCTGAGACGTGATGCTGCTGTTCCATGGAGGGGCAAGGAATACAACTTGAGAAGCTGATACATTCCCCTTCCTGCATCACTGCCTGTAGTTCTCTTATACTATATTTATAATGTGTATTTTCTTTCTCTTTGATGTTGCTGTTGGAGAGAACCTAGGACAGCGGGGACTTGCTATTTGATATTACTGCCCTTATATGAAATTGATTAATAACTTAAAACTTAATTTTCATTCATTATACTGCTTATTCTGGTTGGTGGTTTTCGGTTGGTTGCATTTTATGTTTTTTACCAGGCGTAAGTTGCTGCGTAGGATCCGAGTGGTCACAGTTCTCAACGTGGATGTGAGAGATGATGCCAGGAAAGACTTTCTGCATCGGCAGCATTCTCCCCAGCTGCTGTCCCCTCTGGATTTGGCCGTGGTACCGGATGGGGTGGATGCAGACGAGCTTGACACAGAAACCTGGAAGAGACGGGAGAGGAAGCCAGGTCAGGAAAGAGCGGCTGCATCTCTTCTTGGGGTGAGCAAGAAACCTTCCTCTCACTGGAGGCTGTAATGGTGAAGCAGAAGTCAAAGTACCAACTTCTGCAGACGAGCTTGACACAGAAACCTGGAAGGGATGGGAGAGGAAGCCAGGTCAGGAAAGAGGGGCTGCTAACTTCGAAGCAGGTCAAAGTACCAACTGTGCTGAAATCAAGATTACTTGGATTGTTATAGAAAAGAGGAAAAGAGGGGGCTGGAAAATAAGGTCAGGAAAACATCCTCTCAGCCAAACTGAGGGCATATTTCTAATACTTTATTTTTACCTCTTCTTGGGGTGAGCAAGAAACCTTCCTCTTGCTGGAGGGCTGTAATGATGAAGCAGAAGTCAAAGTACCAACTTTGAAGCAGGTCAAAGTACCAACTGTGCTGAAATCAAGATTACTTGGATTGTTATAGAAAAGAGGAAAAGAGGGGGCTGGAAAATAAGGTCAGGAAAACATCCTCTCAGCCAAACTGAGGGCATATTTCTAATACTTTATTTTTACCATTTCCTTTTTCTTTTTTTTCTTTTTTTTAGTTAGGGTTGTTTTTTTCCTGCTACCTGTTTTTCAACTCCCTCCTTCCCTCCTTTCCAAAAAAAGCATAGGAAAAGGACTGCATCCTGCTGGTGCCAATTTCCGATATTTCTTAGCAGCCGCCTAGTTGTGCTTCAGTGGAGGGACTAGAGAAGGGTGTAAGATTAATCAACGCTTCTTGAAGAGCCACAGAAACCTTACTCAAGTAAATAAAACGATTACACCACAATTAAGCCACAGAAACCTTACTCAAGTAAATAAAATGATTACATATGTGTGGCTCACACCACATCTGCTGTTAATTACTTGCCTGACCCCCTGATTTGGACTCCGTCGTCGATGGCGTTGCCGTTGTGGAAGAAGCGAATGGGTCCGGAGAGCTGGCCGCTGAAAGGAGCGTACACCGTCGCTCCGTCGGAGCAGATGACATCCACCCCCGTGTGCCTGCCACCCCCCTTGTGACCGTGCCTGAAAAGAGAAATACATGAGAAAAGCCTGTCAGGCTTAACATGATGCACAGCTACAGCAAAAATCAGTGCCGAATGACAGCTGAAGCTTGGCTAACAAAATATATGTGTCTGCGATGAAATTGGAAAGAAGTAGTGGCTTTGCTCCATCTTTTATCATTGCAAACTCTTTGTATCGCTCTGACCTTCTTCAAAAAGGGGGATGAGATTTAAATTTTAAGCGTGGTTTTTTTTTTTATTTATTTGCCCAAGTTCATGGGATATTTCAAGCTGTGATGGAAAAGTACCCCTGTTCTACCCCAAAATGCCTCCGTGCTGCTGCGAAATAGAATCTTCTGTTTGGTGTTTTTCTCATTTAGAAATTTGGGAGTTGCATGGTGAGGATGGATGCTTCTTATAGAGCTTGGAGAGAGGAGATGAGAGGGAAACACAGTGAAGGCAGGAGTCATTCTATGTATAAAAGCATTTTTAAGGGAAATATAACCTATTCTATTATAGGTGCCTGTTTAAACTAAAGGATGCTGGCAGGCTTTAGCTTGTATAAATTGATCTATTTAGCTTCCTGTACGCTGTTGCTGAATGTTAGTTAAATATCTGGTCTATCAGCAACAAGAATAAATGACAAATCCTTGAAAAACTTTCCAATAGGTGCCTGTTTAAACTAAAGGATGCTGGCAGGCTTTAGCTTGTATAAATTGATCTATTTAGCTTCCTGTACGCTGTTGCTGAATGTTAGTTAAATATCTGGTCTATCAGCAACAAGAATAAATGGCAAATCCTTGAAAAACTTTCCATTTCCTTTACTCTGGCTGCTAATTCATGTAATGGTCTGTCTTGCTTCTTCCCCTGGGTTCCTAGCAGTGGTGTTACCACACTTCTGCAAGACAGCCAAGCAACGTCCCAAAAATGAGTCAGAGGTCCCTCAGACAACATTCTCAGTGTCAGCTCTGGTTAAACCCTCCTCTCTTTCTCCCTTGTGAACGTTAAATTTAGGGAAGCAAGAGCAAACCCCGCTGCGTTACCTGTCGGCGCCGAATTGGCCGCAGCCGTATCTATCGCAGCCCCGGATCTTGTTGGTGGGGTTCCCGCTGCAGATCTGTGCCCAGTGCTGGTGCTGCTGTTGGGGAGGGTGAGGGTGGGCCTCCAGCTCCTTGGCGAAAACTTCACGTGCAGAAAGAGGAAAACGGGGGAAAATCAACCACCTTCTTAGCGCAGTACAACAGAAAGTGTTACGGTGCGAGATAAGGTGTTAGAAGTGGAAGACGTGAGCTCACGGGAGTTTAGAATTTCAGAAACTGTAGGTAAAAGGACACTGTACAACCTGCAATATAGACTTGATGGCTTTTTCTTAAGGTCTTATTTTAGGACCTCAAGTATATGTATATATATAGTGTTTTTAGTGTGTAAGTATATACACTAAAAAAGCAAAGCTATAGATGAATATTTCTAATATTATTTTTTTGAAATAAGTCAAACTATTTTGACTTCATAAAAACTCTTAAACACTTCAATATATCACTCTGAATGCACACCTAATTCCGTATTTTATACTAAAAAAGCAAAGCTATAGATGAATATTTTTAATATTATTTTGTGAAATAAGTCAAACTACTTTGACTTTATTCATGAAAACTCTTCAACACTTCAATATATCACTCCAAATGCACACCTAATTCCGTATTTTACAATAGTCATAACTGTGCACATTACCATAATTTGTCATAAAATTAGATTGAAAACAATTAACGTTATTTATGTTGGAGAAAATTTCAATAATCCAGTCAAGACCAACTGTGATATTTCAATGTCAACTCACCAGTGGAGGCCAAGCTGACCAGAGTGACCAGGCTGAGAGCTGTCATCTTGTGGCCGTTTCACCGCTGTTCTTTGAGTGAATCAAAGACGTTGAGCAGTAGCTGCCTTGGAGTATTTATGTGTTTTTGAAATCCCAACTCTGGTGTCTTGGCCAACCGGTCTTGAGCAAAGTATTACAGCTCTTGGGCAGCTGGTGTTGCCATATTAGGCACTGAGGATGTCTACAAACTCTAACAGTTGTTAGAGCGGGTTGGGAAAGACGGATAAAATAGTCTCTTAGCACACAGTAACAGTTGGAAATGAAAAATCCCACATTTCAGGAAGCTCTGGTTGAAGCATTTCTTAACACCTTTTCTTCCCCCTCCAGAAGCAAGGGCACACTTAGGCCAGAAATGGTTGGAACCAAGAATCTGGTCCAGAGGATTGAGCTGGAGGGAAAAGATGGGCAAAACTCCACGGTGGACGTAGCCAGTTTGTCTTCTCCTGCTCATTCCAGTACCTCCTCCCTAGGCGTATGTGCCCATTAGAGCTTTCTAACAGAGTGATGGAGAACATAAGAGGTGCAACGTTTGGTGTAGCATGAATATGGCAATGCAGGAAGGACGTGGACCTGTTGGAACAGGTCCAGAGGAGGGCCACAAAAATGATCAGAGGGCTGGAGCACCTCTGTTGTGAGGACAGGCTGAGAGAGCTGGGGTTGTTCAGCCTGGGGAAACCTTCTAACAGCCTTCCAGTGCCTGAAGGGGCTACAGGAGAGATGGGGAGGGACACTCTGTCAGGGAGTGTAGTGATAGGATGAGGGGGAATGGTTTTAAATTGAAAGTGGCAAGACTTAGATTAGACTCTAGAAAGAAACTCTTTGCTGTGAGACATCGGAACAGGTTGCCCTGAGAAGCTGTGGCTGCCCCATCCCTGGAGGGGTTCAAGGGCAGGTTGGAGGGGGCTTGGAGCAACCTGGTCTGGTGGGAGGTGTCCCTGCCCAGGGCAGGGGCCTGGAACTAGATTATTTTTAAGGTCCTTTCCAACTCTAACCATTCTATGATTCTATAATATTCGCTTAAGCTAAGAAATACAGATTCTTTTGCATTTTTTTCTCCCTGTTAAACTGAAATTATCACCTAGCCTGGACTTAAATCCCTGAAGTCTCTTCACTGAAACCCTAGTTTTTCACAACTAAATTCTTATTGAAACGACTTCCAGTTCTGAAACAAACAGTTGCAAACCCAAGTTGCATGGCATAACTGAGATGGAGTTAAAAATTTCTAGGTTTTAAAATTATTCAGTTAGTATCTGCTTGATTTCAGCTATTGTACTATTAAGCAGGTTCCTTAGTGTTTATCTTAATCCTGCAGTTTGAGTTTTCTGCATTACTTACAGAACAACATTAGATTTTCTTTACGGACATGTCTTAGTTAATATGGAATTTAAATGAGTCATGGCACTTCCACATAAACTGATATTCCAAGTTACAGAAACCTCTGGAAGTCCTGAACATTTTATTTAGAGGAGAAACAGATGTTTCTCTGCCCCACTTCTAGTTTACAAAGAGCATCTGTACATTGTGTTTTCTGAAAACCTCCACGGAACAAGCAGCTGGAGATGAATTTTTTTTGCTTGTGGTTCCAAGCTTTTTTTTTTATAGCCAATATTTAAGCCCCAAACAATCTTTTAGCCTTCCTTGGGGTTATTACAAGTGGCTTTGCTGTTTTTACCCCTGCTGTTTTCTTCTCCATCCTGCCAGAAAGAACTGCTGGTTTTCACACTCGTAGTCACCAAACAAATATTTATATAAACGTTATGTCCCCTCGGTCTAGTTTTGATGTAGTTTTTGGTTAGATTCCATTATATTGAGCAAGTTATAGGCTTACAAATGATACAAGGTGCTGGTAAGAGCTCTCAGTGGGTGTTGAGGGTTTGGGGATGCTGCTTAGCCCTGAATTGGAAGAAGGGGTACGTGGGTTTGTGCAACCCTTGCCAGAAACAACCTCCCTCCCTCCCAGCTGGGAGAGCCTCTCTAATATTATTTCCAGGCTTATTCACCTTTGTTTGGCACAGGCTCTTCACAAACCCCCTCAGCTCTCCTTAGCAGAGAGAACCAGCAAGGGAGGTGGGAAGCTTTCAGTGAGATTTCATTGTATAGAGGTAGCAAAGTATTTCTGAGCTTGGCCAGCTTGATACTAGCTGCTGGAAGCTTTTTTTCCTACTGGAAACAAAACCACTTAAAAATACAGACTTTATATGGGTGATGCCTGGCCATTCCTCATTGAGGGATCTCCGGTGGGGTTTCTGCAATAATGATTTCTCTCGACTGGATTTTATTTCTGATTTATTCCTGGCTGGCAGTTCACATTAGTAACGTTTTAAATATCTCATTATACAAGTTTTACCTGGGGCGGACCTGCCTTGAAAAGCTAATGATTTTTATAAACTTTTGTGAACTCAAACGCTCCATATTTTACCAAGGAAGGAATTGCAGCACCTCAATCCACTCTGCAAAGTCCCTCGAAGAAAAGGCTGGGTGTAAAACCAGCCAAGCTGGAAGGCCTGAGGAGAGAAGCACCACTGTGTGATAGGGGCACAGACACTGGAGAAGCATTTTTGAGACCTGTTTTTGCAGTCTGGTATTTTGTAAAATGGCTCAAAGCAACCCATTCTTTCTGATTTCTTTTCCATCTCATTTGTGTTACAGAGCTGCCTCCAAATTGCTCATAGCTTTGTACGTTCTTTATATTTTCTCCATCAGAGACCTTAAGAGCGTTGTACCACGCTCTGTTCTTTCTAAAATATGTCAAAATATTGTTTGCTGCAGTAATGTCTCTAATGCACTGCTGGTAAAGTATTCTTAACAGTTTTCCAGGGTATGATATTGCCATTGAGATTTCCCAGTGTGTTCCCCGTCTCTCTTGGGTGAGCTGGAAGGTGCAGACCTCTCACCTTGGGCTTGAGGAAGAAGCTCTGAGCTGAAGCTGGTGGGATTCCTGCGTTGGGTAATAGGGATGTTAATATAACGGTTGGGAGGTGGAGTTGTGAAAGACCCAAACTGGCTGCTTAGGACACACCAACTGAAGGATATGGGACAACCGGCCGGCGTTGCATGGTCCCCAGGAGCTGTGGTTGCAGCGTTTCCTTCCCAGTGGCGAGGAGAGGGTGAGGGGATGGAGAGGAACCACCATGAAGCACTGTGAGGAGCACACCGAGGGCAGGTGGGCTGACTGGGGAAACGCTCGCCTCTTTCTCTTGCATGAGTGGTACCAGTTCCCCATTTTGCCCCTTTTATGTCAGTAGGAGCTTCTCTGACTGCACAAGGTCCTTCGAGGTCTTCTTAGGGACGGTGCAAGGGTTCAGCGGGCAAATGGGAGTGTTTGGGCTGGTATCAGCAGGCATGGAGTGAGCTCAGCCTAATGTTGGCCAGGAGAATCCTGACTCAGCTATTCAGCCTTTCCAAAGATACTGTGACCCTGCTGTGTGACTTATGTTTCTGGAGGGTCCACTGCCAGTTACCAGGGCTTTGGGACAGACAGTACCTGCCAGGCCTGTGTCCATAAACCTTCCAGACGTTAGACTAGTCCCTCTTAACATATTAATTATCTTAACATTATCTCTTAATGAGAAAAGTCATATGGGAGAGCAATGAGATTGTGTTTTCGGATGAAAAGAGCCAGCAAACTGTGAGACACACCTGGGCAATGGTAGTGGACCCTTTGAGCAGAAACATCAGCAAAAGCCAGGGCCAAACCTTGAGCCAGAGCCAATCCAACCCCCAGCCAAGGTCTGCAGTTTCCTTCCAGCCGTGCTGCTCTCCTCCTTTGGTTGTCCACAAGTCAGGGCTGGTTCCTCCATCCTTGACGCTCATTTCAGCTCAGTGGGATTCAACCAATGTCCAAAAACTGATGTTTTGGTCCATGAAGCCCTTCCTCTTTGTAACCTCTGTGGGGCTCCAGCCCCAGTGAACTGGAAAAATGAGAGCTGAGCATCTTATTTCTTGGTAACACTACAGTATCGTAGCTGCAGGTTTCCAGGCTCGTTAGCAGGCAATTGAAAAGGTAAATCCTCTTCCTATTTATATTTTACAGAACATTTGGCTTTGTCCTTGGCTGGCCTGGTGCTTTCAGTGTGGGAACAAATCAATGCTGAGCACTCGCCTCCTGGCTGATCTGCCTAGGTTATGTTATTAAAGAAGCTTGAAGGCTGGTTCTGTGGAAAATAAATAACATACTTTGTGCTAATCGTTAAAAATCAAATTATGATTTAAAAATGAACTGCTGAAGAATTTACTTGTGCAATTAGCAGCGCGGGCTTTCGTGGAGGAAATCAAGCTGGCGCAACGTGAAACGAATTTGCCCTCGCTATTTATTCAGGCTTCTGATCCTTGACAAGGCTGAGATAAGAGGAATTTTGCCACGATGATGAATTGAGCTTTGTGTGCGGGGCTTTTACTGTAGTATCAGGGGGAAATCAGCAGGTTGCGCTAACTGATCAGCCAAAAGGCACGGCTGGGCACCTCATTTTAAGCAGATGGGCTGTAGGAGAGCTGAGTATATCACCTTTTTTTTGCTAAGTTTGAGTTGAAGACGAAGCTGCAGTTGTGCTGGTGCACGATTCTGATCGAAGGCTCCATCTCGAATTTATTTTGCCTTTATTCATATACTTGCTAAGCCTGAGTTGAGCAGTTTTTAATTGGGAGGACTGAGGAATGCCAAATAAAATCTTTTTGGTACCTATGTCCTCTCTGATGGGGAGGACATAACTCTGGCCGAATCCTCCAAAAGTAATTTAATGCTCAGGAAACTAAAAGGGCAGAGTGTAGATTTGGGTTGCAGCCTTAGGCAGTTAATCTGGGACCTTGTGGTACAAACTTACAAAATAAAAGAGGTAACAAGGAATAGGATCCCTGCAGAACTGGTGCAGAAACAAAGCAATTCTGCATGGTCCGAGTTTGCTAACTCTTTCCTGAAAAGCCTAGTTGCCCCCGTCACTTCCCCCAGCACCCTTTCCCCTCACCTTAAATATTTCTAAAACTCTGTATTTTACCAGCTTTTTATTTCCTTTCCAGAGTCAGCTACGAATTGTATTTTCCCTTCCTCTGTGG